GGGGCGGGGATTTGATGCCTGAGACTATCCCCCTGTCGGGCTTTTGATCATGCGAAGCGACCCCGGGGTAGGGACATTTGACCTTGACCGACTGAAGCCTGGTATCAATTCAGAAGCGGTTACCAAGTCCGTCCCTCGAAGCTTTCTGAAAGTCACGCTGTTGTTGAAAGGTATGAAGGTAATAATGTCTATTTTGAGAAAGGTTTTATCTTCAAGTTCCCATCTGATTGTAAAACTTGATTGAAATCGAATTCCACCATGAAAGTCAGAGGATTTTTTACGGGTCACTGATCCGACCTGTTCCGACATGTTGAGCAGATGTTATAAGGCATTTTACGTTTCATTAATATTATAATAGCACAGTCAATCTTCCTGGAGTGATTTTGTTGTTCAAAATAGGAGATGCTAGTGGAGAGAGAAAATACTTAATTACAGCGAGTAATTTAACGGAGTTTACGTTAACCGTAAATATAAGTAGTAAGAATGTACTTTTGAAATATTCTTTTAATTTGTTTTATATAGTGTTATAGTATTGTTTGTTTAGATTTTTCCCCCTGGGGTGGGGGCTTTTTTGACACTTTTGATCAACCTTTCGTTTCCCACCCTGGGGAATTTGATCAAAAAATTTCAAAATTTGTCAAATCCCCACCCCTTGCCCGCACTCCCCCCCCCCCCACGGGGTTTACATTGATAGGTGCATTACGTCGTAGTCGTGCAAAGAAGGCAAAGAAATGCAGAAAAAAAGTACTTACAAAGTTGATGTTTTGCCAATCTAAACCTGTTGCTTTTTTTGCCGTTCTCGTTGCCGTTGCCGTCGCCGTCATCGTTGCTTTTAAGCTTAAAAAAGCTCTCATTATTTTTCTTCATTTTTTACTTACCGCGCATACAACTCCACGCTGCTTCGGTAAATCCGCCAAATATGAAGCTTCCACTTTGCACAACTGTAACTGTTGGACCTTTGTCGTCGCATTTTGAGTGGAATGATTCAGCCGCGAAACCATCTCGAGAAGCTCTGAACAGAAGACGCCACCTGCCAGTTTTAAAAGGTACCATACCTAACAATATCTTTGCATGTTCTTGAGTTAGTATTTCAGACTCTGCAAATGGCTCTGTCGCTTTGGCTCCTCGATCTGCGCTCTTCGAAGGTCTGGGTTTCCCTAGCTCCTCAAGAATTCCTTGAATTTGGTAGAATTCAGCTTCTGCCTCGATTTCTTCAAAAAAAGTGGCCCCTTCTGGTAAAGATAACTTTCCATCACGAAGATAGTTCAGAATATAGCGGAAGTAAGTTCCATCTCGGTCGATAAAGAACGTTCCATCTTCAGTAGGTTTCATTGGAAATCTTCCGGAAAACATGGCGGCAAGCATAGAGTCTGGATCCTTGGTCAGTGTTTGGACGGTAGTAGTGAAAAGTACGCCACCAACATTGAGTTTTACTTTGTTTGAAAGCTGCATGGTTTCCATTCTCTTCGACATGGAATCACATGCTTCCTGCTCTTCACGAAGCCTACTTGCTTGCCGCTGTAGATGGTTACAAACTGCTTTGATTTGTTTCTCAACATCAGCGAGAACTTGAGTGTGTGTCAGTTCCTCTTCTTCTTGACTTCTATCACTCATTTTAAACGCGCTTCCTCGAAAAACTTTCCATCAATTCTTCTTGGCAATTTGGCACCCTTCTCCGTCGCGAGCGGCTGCTTGATTACCCTAGTGCCAGAGGTATTCATTTTCAGTGAAATCCAACTGGTGGTCTATTATCACTGCTGCGTTCTGATTGGTTGAGCTACTACAAATACGCCTATATATAGCCCACTAGCAGAGAAAAGCACCCGCTTTGAAAACCAATACAGTGGCGGCTGAATCCCGTAATTTTGCTAGCTAAAGTTATTTTGTCTCGATATTTTTGGCCAACGAGTTGGATTATACTAAAACAATTATTCCTCTCGCCCTCATGGCCTCTGAAACAATAGCCCATTCGGGCTCGAGGAATAATTTTTAAAGATTTTTCACAGCTGCGTTACTAGGACAAGGTAAGAAAGGTGCGCGTCTGTTATTCGACGACGAGTCATCAAATCAAATCAAAACCTTTATTTATACACTATGACGTTTAAAGCTTAGTAACTTCAGGGGTCGTGTATAGGATAAATAATTGTACAAATTTTAGATTAAAATAAGTTAAGACACTTCAAAATCTTAGAATACTTTTAAAAATTAACTCTTTCTAACAAGTAAAACTAAGTAAGTTCACGGATGTTTCGATAATCATGAAACGATTAAAAACATCTAAAACGTCTTACTGTACAGGTTACTAAAAACAATATCCGATTATAATTAATTGCATTCTGCTCATAAATACTTTAATAAAACTACCAAGGGATACTGCTTTGCAGCACTCTCCTGGTAAATGGTTCCACAGAATTGCCCTTCTGTAGGCTATTGAAGATTTCATGATACTTGTTCTAAAAGTTTATTGAATAACTATCAGATGGCTTCTTCTCAAATTGTGCGATGTCTGAGGCTTTGAGATATGCATTGACATGCAGGAGGGCGAGACATTATGAAACACCTTATGGATGAGCTTTAGAATCGATAATTAGTTCTTACAGTGTCCCATTTAGCGCGAGCAAGTACTTCCCCAGGGGCGGATCCAGGATTTTTTTTAGGAGGGGGTGCACTCGTCTCTTGCTCTACTTCAACACCAATAAACCACATAGTTCTTTTTTTTTTTTTTTTTAGCAGAATACCAGTTGTATTAGAAAACC